TAATAATATATATATATATATATATATATATATATATATATATGATATATTGATTAATATCTTAACAAATTAATATGTTGTGGCCAAATTTATTGATCTACTTCTTTTCATTTTACCGTTGCATAAAATCTAAAGAATGCATGTAATGCATGTGCGTTTTGCTTTAATAAATATAACGTAACTCTAAGAATTGGTCAGTACAGTATAATTGAACCTTGTAAGTACATTGTACACGCACAGGCATATTTTACTGCATTCAGTAAACACAAGATGTACCGATGCCTTACTATTTTTTTCATTGTTGTGATAAATCGCATGTCTATACTCGTTCATCTCTTTACGCTTCGGAACAAACACTCGTGTTACAATCGTATACGATTACTGTCACGAAATGAAGTTGTATCATGTAAATTAATCAACATTAATGTAAAATTTGAAATTTGAAATTCTAATAATTTAATTATTTCACATTTGATTATATATATATATATAAATTAGAAATAATCATTTAATAATTCATTAATACAATATAATCTAATCATTTTACATAATTAATTATTAATTTTTATTGTATAATAATAAGTATATAACTAACAAAATAAAAATTTCAATCATTTTAAATGCTTCTACAAATATAATTAAAACTTTTAATTTATTTTAATGTGATTAATCTTAAGGCAAGCTATCGCTTTTTTTATTACACAAATATTCAGATCTTTTGATAAAATTGTTTTGATAAAATAAGTTTAAATTATAATCAATCATTATTAAATAATTTAGTAATTACTAAAACTCAAAAAACAAGATATAAAAGATAAATTATGCCAAATAAAAATACGGATAGGTAGATAGGTAGATAAGTAAGATTGACAATAATCTTATTGACTATCTATTTATCAATTAGATTGGCTATCTATTTATCAATTAGATTGATAAATAGTCAATTAGATCGTGGCGATCCTCTTTTTAAAATTTTTACAGAGTAGCCGTAATAATTTTCATAAAATATTGTGATGAATGCATCATCGGATTTAAGATAGAATTAAAATAGAATTACCCTATACAATGAAAACAATAAGACGATTTTCAAATTTACATTTGGCGATTTATTTCGTAATACTTTTTCATAAGAAATTTTTCTTTTATTATTTTCTATCTGGTTGTATTAAAAATGTACATTTATATTTTTAGTATAAATATATTTTAGAAGATGTATACTATTATTTTTACTTGAATAAAAACTTTTAATGCTTGCCACATAATTGTATATGAGATAAATTTTATATATATTTACATAATTAATTTAAAAAACTTCGGTACATTATTTCAAATAATTTTATTTGCGTAATACTTGTCAGATAATTTAAAATTACTTAAGGGAATATTACTTTCATATATAGAATTAGCTGGCCTACTTTTCTAACTCGTTGCTAATTTTGTGAAAGCTTGACAGCTGCAAGACGTGCACCACATGTACGTCTCTGTTACTTTGAATCATTCTTTCACTAGCAAATGATATGAATCATTTCTATACAATTACACTTTTTCATCTTTTTTTTCTTTTTTCCCCAAATATGGCAAAAACTTAGATTGGAATGTTCGAATTGTTGCAAATATTTTAAATGTCATTGATTTTAACATAATAGGAGCATCGTTGAAATTTAAACAATTTAAGAGAACTATTTATATATATAATATCAAAATAATACATATATATTCGTATTATAATTACATTATATATTACATGATTTTATAAAGGCAATAGAATATTTTTTTAAACAATATTTTTCTCCAAAAAAAATATCGATATCATTAAATAATCATTAGTAATCATGAATAATTATCACGGATAATGAATTATTTATTCTGTGATAATTATATAACATAACAATAATATAACATTAATTCTACATAATAATGTTAATACAAAATTTATAAGCCAACGAAATCAAATTTTAATAATTAATTTAAAATAATTAATTTTAAATAATTAATTTAAAAATATTTATTTTTATATAAAAACATTCTTTTACTTTTTCATCAATAGAATCAATGAGAATCTGCTTATAAATTGATCTCACGTATCAGCACCCACTTTTATAAAATATACTAGACAAACTTTAGTATTGTCTGCATTGCAATATACAGCGCACAAAGAATTAAAATGTTTTTCTATATAACGGGTAGCCCCTTAGTCAAGTATGCATGAAATTATTCGGTCAGTAACTGATTCTTATCCGGAAAAAAATAAGAAGAAAATTATCTTTGCGTGAATGGGGGAAAAATTTTGTCCATGCTCATTAGGCATATTTATCTACGTTACTATATTTAAATATTTGATTTCTTTGCTGATCGCATCTGTATTACATTTTTTCGAATAGATATAAAAGTTCTTAATTTTGTAAAATATAATATTCAAGAGAATTATATATATATATATAACGCACATAACATAGCTTAATTGTATTTAATTATATTTAATTGAAAGATATGTAATAATTTCTTCTTTCTTCTTTATTACTTTTATGATACACGATAACTATGTAATCATTTTAACTTACAAGTTTTAATATAAATTAAAAAAAAAATAAAACAAAAAATATATTTTATAAATGTTTAATCGCACATCCTTTAAGAAACTATAATATTTCCTTGAAAAGAAATAATATTTGTTTTAAATTAAAATTTTGAATATTTTTAATTTTCGGGTATATTTTATTTTAAATATACATGCTTAATTCACATTGCACGCTAATATAATAATTTAAATTAGTTAAAGTTCTTGATTAAATTTAAAAAATCAAACTATATAACTTGCATTAATTTTATATTCTATAAGAATTTAACTCAAATTTTCGAACTTTCATTTTTGAGATGTGTAGTGCAAAATTTTTATTTAAAGATATTTGTAAGGATGTAAATATTAATAAGT